TAACGCTCACTCTGCATGCGTCCATGTCTCTCTCTCTCTCTCTCTCTCTCTCTCTCTCTCTCTCTCTCTCTCTCTCTCGCTCGCTCTCTCTCTCTCGTTCGTTCTTTTAACCCCTAATACGTCGCTGAAGTCACGCTTTAGTTCACAGACCCAGACCAAACAAGATTTGCACTCTCCGCCGCTTCTCAAACTTGGCCCATTTAAACAGCGGAGGCAGCGCGAGCGACCTCGAGGGGTCCGCGACGGACGAGGTTGCGTCACTGTTTCCAGTCACTGCAAAGAGTTCACTTCAAAGAAATCATTTGATTTAGGCTTTATTTTCCATTCTCATACTGCTATGTGGTTACTTTTATTCAGTTAAGGTGTTTTTTTAATCAAAAGATTTTTTGACTATAAATATACAAGTTAGTACATTATGCAGATATATAATGTGTAAATTTAAAGTGGTAAATGTTACCTGTGCAGTGTACGGTAAATTAAATAAATAAATAACTTATTTTTTTCTTAAATAAAAAAATATTTTTTTTTTTAAGAAATACACAATTTTAATACTTTTTCATATTTCTGTTGTTAGTTATGTATTTGGTTTACAGTATGCTGCACTACATGTTATTTTCTGTTTACTGCATGAATTTCAGTCTTCTTTGTTAGCTCATGTTGTGTTTATCTGAATGACACTTTTTTTATTGGAAAAAATGGCAAGAAAGGTCCATTTTGATTCTTTAGTTTGATATCATTTTGCACTTACTGTCATCATGTGGCCTTGTTGTAAAATAATGGAGGCTGTGGTTGCCAGAACTTTACAGTAAAATACATTCACAAGTTACAAAAGTAACAGGAGGGCTGTAAAATATACTGATGGAACATTCACTGTATTTTAATTTTAATGTAAACAAAATAAACAGTGCCTTGGAAAGCTATTGAATGTTTTGGCAGCAATAACCTGTTAATAATCATTTCATAATTATAATGCAAATCCTCTATAGTCTCTCAAACATAATGAAAACATTTTGATGTTATGCAATATATATATATATAAAAAAAATAAAAGGACAAATCTTACCGTTATGGGTAAACATATTAAACATTGCAAAAGCAATTATAAACCTACTTTATTTACTGTAAACAAATCAGATGAAACTGACTGTGCTATTTACATTCAACATCACCATTCCTTCAGACATTTTAAACAAGGCTTACTTTCCTTTTTTTTCGTTAATGGTTTTTATCCGCACTTTAACCTAATCGATATAAGATGTAGTCTATATATAATCAAACATGATCAGATGATTCTCTAGATGTTGTTGAATACTGTACCAGAGGTAATGTAGCTAATGGTTTCATTATTTCAATATAATTTCTATATTTTTTTAAACTGACTAAATATTTTTAAGGCAAAGATCATCATTATTGTTCCTTTTGTTGAATCTGCTCAGTCGCATAGACACCGTTTACTTTGCAAGCCTGTGAGTCTTAAACTTTATATGCATAATTTTAATCTAGAAATCAAAAACCGCCCCCACAAAGACATATCACAAGAAAACTGGAAACAACCTAAAGGTCAAAGGTTCTGAGAGACCTCAGGAGATCCCTGAAAGCCCAAGTGTGATGATCCCCCGCGGGGATACCCTGCCCCCGCACCCCTACTCTCTTCTACATTATAATCACTGGTGAGTCATGAGGGACTCTATTTATGAAGGAGGGGTTCCCCTAAATTTGCAGATGACAACGTAGCATTCAACCTACAGTTTGGTTCAGGACGGCTTCCCCTGAACTTTCATCCCCCACATTATCGCCAGTTCAGCAGAACAAGTCCTGTGGCATCCTCCTCTTGCTCATCAAAATGAAAGTGCCACCCACTCACACGGAGAGTGAAATGGTTTCATATTTCACAACATGCATGTTGAAGAAATGTCTCTGCTTTTGTTATATAAAGTTTGGGTCACTTCCCTCTCACATACTCACAACTACATAGCCAAACTCAAAGCTGAATGAATGGATAAATAAATAAAAATATGTACATTCAAAAGTATTGCATAGTACATAGTATGTAAACAATTCTTAAGGTCACTGTCTACACTACAGTTATTGATATCTATAACACAGCAGGAGGGAGTTGTGTTCATCCACTTGATATTAAAATGTTGGTAACAAAGTATTTCAGTTTTTTTTTTTTCGATTCTATTCATCTTTGATAGCTAAAGTTTTTCAGACTACAAACATCAAGTAAAATCTGAGGCCATATTGTTGCTATCAGAATATAATTTCGATACTTTGCCAAATAATTTCACATGAAAGACAACATACATACAGTAGGCCAATATTAAAAAAAAAAAAAGTATATGTATTATATGTTTGGTTCATTACCAAAAACCAAAATTAACTATGCACTTGTGAATATCTAAATGTTAAGTATTTATGGATTAAAAGCAGTATCACTTTCAGTAAAAATATGATTTCGTTTTCTGTAGGCCTTCCTATTATTACACAACTTCTTCAGTATAATACATGTCAATAACTTTGTTTTCTCCAGATTCACTCAGCGTAGGTCGCTGCCCACGGTCCTGTCGGATGTGGAGAACCCCCTTGCAGTCGTCCCCGCCTCCGCGCCGTTGTTGGCAGCGGCTCCGGAGCCACAGCGCTGCCGGCGGGGGAGAGAGGTAATAAATAACCCGGGGAGAGGAACGGAGACCGCCGGGCGGTGCACAGTCTGACCTGACAAATACTCACTGGAAAACCATCAGAGAGCGAGAGCCCACCCCTAATGCTTGGAGCCAGCCTTTCAGACATGAGCAGAAAAATATATAGGCCTGTCCATATTGGGAAAAAAACGGCGTCTCTCTCCCCCATCAACATTAAAACAGTGAAAAATGCAGCAACAATGATTAAAAGTGTATTTCTAATTAAAAGTATTTTACAAATGTAAAAAAAAAAAAAAAAAAAACACTTTTGGGAAAAAATTATGTAAATTCACATGTGATGAAGATTAAATGCATACAATATCAGTCTTCTAGAAAAAGCGATTTGACTATTCCACATGGAGAAGGTCACCCACTGGTGTATGCCGCCATGTTTACATCACATGACCAGCTTTGTCATGCAATTGGCACAGCTACAATGAAATAAATATGTATGTACAGGTGCATTTCAATAAATTAGAATGTTGTGGAAAAGTTCATTTATTTCAGTAATTTATTTCAGGGATTGTGACACATTGAACAAAAACCCACCAATTCACTATCTCACCAAATTAGAATATGGTGACATGCCAATCAGCTAATCAACTCAAAACACCTGCAAAGGTTTCCTGAGCCTTCAAAATGGTCTCTCAGTTTGGTTCACTAGGCTACACAATCATGGGGAAGACTGCTGATCTGACGCATTCTAATTTATTGAGATGCACCTGTATGTATGTATGCATGCATGCAGCATTTGTGAGACGTAAACATATGGAAACAAAAAGTTACAAAATTTGCTGGTAAGCTACAGCTGGTACTAAATACATTTCATACATCCAGGTCAACAGGTGTCAGTATAAAGTTCAAAACAACTCGTACTATTAAGACAAATAAGACAACAAAACTTGTACATTTATACAATAAACGCTATAATTTCTTTTATTTAAATTATTTTGACATTTTAAAAATCCTTTTCATATTTTATTAGTTCACATTTTATAAAAAATATTATATCATCATGGTTACTACAGTTAACTAAAACTTAAAAAAAACATTTAAAAAAATTGGTAGGCTACTTGACAAAAACATTAACTGAAATAAGTATTAAAAACTATTTCTTTCAGCTACAACAATTCTCATTTTAATTTAATATCTAGGTGTTCTAAAATAACTAAAACTGAAAAACTATACAGACACAAAAAAACAAAAACTACTAAAAATTACAAAAACAACAAAATTACTAAAACTTTAGAATTCAAATGAAAATTGAAAATATAAAAACAGAAACAAATATATATATAAATATATTTATTTATTTACAAAAACTATATTAGCATTCCAATGATACTAAAATAACATTGTAATAATAAAAATAATATAATAAATAAAGTTTTATGTCTGTCAAAATAAAATCTAGTATGTAGCCTGATGCTTTTCTTTCATCTGCATTTTCTACAGGTTCTCATAAAAGGAGGCTTCTATTGGATTTTAAATGGACTCTCCAGAGGGACTTTGGAGATCACAGTTGGCAGCTCATGCAGCGCCGGTAAAGTGATGCTGTGTAATGTAAAACCCTGAGCGTCTCCTCAGGTTTGTGCTGTCGTCTCGGCGCCCTCCGCTGCTCTCTGGAGATTTAGAGACCATGGAAGCAGTCTGTGATACCAACCGGCAGCCCGAACTACCACATGGGATTTATTTCCTAGCTGGACAGGTGGGCGGCCCGGGAGGATACTGATTTTAGCCCAGTGTCTGAAGCTGTCAACGCCATTAAAAGCAACCAAACCATACTTCCCTTGCCTTCCCTGAAAGCTTTA